TCCTTCTCAGTGAGTTCAATCTCCTGCATATTATGATGCTGCTTGGATTCTTCTTTTATACACAGGAGGCAAGCATCTTCAAACCATTTTAAGAATACTGTGGAATTTGTTGCATTTAAATTGTGTGACAGAACTTGCTTGATTCAGCAGAAGGATTTAAAAAATGATCTCTGCTTTCTTTTTACATTTGTAATCAGTATATAAGGTTAATTTTTTTTTACACAGCTCAATGAAGTTTGTAAGGCTGTGGCTTTGACTGGCTATAGATCTCAAATAAAGAGCTATTTCCTCTTTCTTTTTTTTCCCCTAGCCTGTCTATATATGATTAATTTGATATTATTGTATACAGAATGTTAGGAATATAAATTTTATTAATATAATTTAGGGGTCAGGATTAAATTTGAGGTAAAAGGAAAGAGAACTTGAACATAAACACTTCTACAGATACTTAGAGTTTTCTTGGGGAAACTTTCCCAGACGTGAAGCCCTATTGCCTAGGATGAAATTGCTGTACAAAGTGCAAAAACCCTGTTATTCAAGCTGAACTTTCAAGTCATGGCACAGGGACCAATGTCCTTTGGAAAACTAACCAGTTATGGAAATTGTTGAGTGTTGACATTTTGGAAAAAATCTGACTTTGGCACTTGATCTTGAAAGGTATTCAGGTAGTTTAGGTGGGACTGGTTCCAGATACGGTACACAAATGTAATTTGTTTCTTGTTTTTTAATTGTTGTATTGTTTATTGTATGAGAGTCTGAATGTTGAACTGTAAAGATTATTAGGATTCTGATATTTTTTTCAGCTAAAAAGGGCAGATGTTAGCTATGAAACATTATAAAGAAAGTACATGATAGGCTCAACATATGTACTAAAATACTTCGTGGGAGATAAACATTCAGATTTCTGTTTTACTGGTTTCATTGGGATATTGTCTGTATTGAGATAGTCTTAATTTTAAAATATTTTCCTTGCCTCAGTTGCAAATTGTTATGAAAAAGATGTCAGTCCTTTTCGTTGAGTTCTTCCATACCTATTCTTTTTTAAGGATAACTGTAGTTTCCTAAGCAACTCTACTGAGATTGATGTCATACTAGTCACCTTTTGCTAGAGGAGCCCATTAGCAGAATTTTGCTACATACAAGGAGACATGAATAAGATTATGGCTGAAACAGCAAGATACAATTATTACTGGATGGTGCTTTGCATTAAAATAAGTGAAATATTACATTGAAACTTTGAAATACATTTAGCTCTTGCCTATTTCAGCAATTTTCTTTTTTTACTTTTGTAGCATTTATGGGCATTTTCATTTCAGTGATAAATATAAAACAGAAATTACTGAAATTATGGCAGTGCAAATAAACTTTAATATACGTATTTATTTTAGGACAAACAATTTAATATTCACCTCAAAAAGGAGATCATTGTAGAGTGGTCTGCAAGACCAGAGATATTGAAAAGATCAGGAATACATGTTTGTAAGTTTTATGACAAATAGTATCAGCATTAAAAAATAGAGTTTACTTTCATGTAAATCCAAGACGGTATATAATCAATTTGAGAAAAAATAAGCGCAAAACTAAAGTGAAAAAATAGTATGACCTTCATGCAGACGCAAACCAGTGTAGGCAGTATAGAAGCATGGAGGGATACAAAAGTAGGTATTCGTATAGATAATAAAATAATTTAAAATTGTATCAAGTAGAATCAGAAGACTTGTGATCTCCATATTTCGAAGTATAATCTGTCTAATCCAAGGAAGAAAGGAGAGAAGGGGGGGAGGGAGAAAAGAAGGGAGAGAAGGGAGGGAGGAAGGAAGGAAGGAAGGAAGGAAGGAAGGAAGGAAGGAAGGAAGGAAGGAAGGAAGGAAGGAAGGAAGGAAGGAAGGAAGGAAGGAAGGAAGGAAGGAAGGAAGGAAGGAAGGAAGGAAGGAAGGAAGGAAGGAAGGAAGGAAGGAAGGAAGGAAGGAAGGAAGGAAGGAAGGAAGGAAGGAAGGAAGGAAGGAAGGAAGGAAGGAAGGAAGGAAGGAAGGAAGGAAGGAAGGAAGGAAGGGAATTTGACAACCTTTTATTTAATTGCAGTTGGTTATATCATTATACAATAAAAAGTTTTCTAAAGCATTCTTAAAGCATTTGATTATCATAAATCATATAGGTCCAGGTTAACTGGACCATGTTTAGGATTTAATGGCAATAAACTGATAGTTGGGTTTAGTAAAATTAAAATAAGAATGTTCTCATTTAAAGAAGTTTATCTTAGCTTTTGTTTGTCTTGTCATGTCTTCATGGAGCACAGGGTCTTCTGAAGAGCCTGGATGCTTATTCTTTCTCTCCTCAGAACCCTGCAATCAGAGTTCATTTGCTGTTGCCTTTAGAGTGTGCACATCCCTTTAAATGCACTCCTTAATTGGAGTTCCTTACTAAATAGTCCTTCCTGAAAAATCAAGTGTTACTTGGTGTCAGGCAGGAACAAGGATGAAAGACACCATTTGCTGAAGAAGAGAGTAAGTTAAAAGTTTTGAGGTAACACTTCATGTGAACAGAACGTCAAGAAGGGAGTACCATAAAGTGAGTAGTAGTACTGTGATTTATATACAAAATGAGTCAAAATCACACACTGAGAAATACTAGGAAAAGATTGTAAAGTGATAGTGATAGTATACTGTACACCCACAGGGTCAGATATTTTGATATGGACAGGGAACTTGATAGTATTTTAGGTGGTTAAATAATTCTGAGAATCATGGGAGTCTTTAACTTTGTAGATATTTTAAAAGAAAATGTTGCTAATGTTCATCTGTCCCTATTATTCTGTATGTTACTAATTTGGAAATATTTTGAGACACACCAGGGATAAGCACTACATTCCTACTAGTTTAATTTTTTCAATTTCCCTAAAATTCGCGTGTGTAAGCATAAATCCTGCTAGAGAAAAGAGCTCGCTTGTGTGGAAGAAAGCCCCTATTCAAGTAACAGCACTAATGAAAGGCAGCAGTGTAAATTGCTAGCATAGCAATTTCTCGTAGCATGAATTTTCTCTCTTTCAAGGTCATTAGGGTATAAAAGCCCTTTGCAGCTCTCTTGCAGTATACATCTCAAAAATGTATATTTCTTATTAGCAAGGATTATTCTTTATTTACTTTACTTAAGCACATTTGTGTGCCAATAAGATTGCACAGAGGGGTGCAGCGCCTGTGCTAGGGACCATAGTGAAGTCTTTTCCCTGTCCATGTGTGCTGTGACACATGACACATGTTACATATCCTTATATGCGGCCACAGCCACAGAGGTCTAGGGAACATGAAGGGAACATTGCACAGTGAAGCATCTTCTTTTTGGCTTTGCTGCAGAGAAGCTGGAGGACTGCACTGCAGCTGGGTCTGCGTGACAACCTTGGTGGGATATATGGAGCCCTGGGCAATCCCACATCCCTTCCTTCTAAGTAAATCCATGCCCAGAGTAGCTTTACCTGTTAGTAGGGTAATTTTAGTAGCAGTCCTTTGTTTATGCTAGAGCATGTCTAGCTTCTGGTGACTCAGAATCTGATTCTAACCCTCAATGTATAGATAAATTCTCCATATCAGAACAGAAACCAATGGCAAGCATGTAAATTTAAATCACACTTCTGAAGGATGGTGGTGAAGAATTGTTACTTCAGAGGTGCAAAATAGCTGTGCAGGAGTCAAATCAGATTTACATATTCATCATACATTGTTGAATAGCTCTGCAAAAAATTACTTTCCTCCTATGTTTGTAACGCATGTTGTATATGTGGCCTAATCTAATATTTTCCACTTTGCAAGCAAAAGCTAATTTCAATCCCAGATGATAGAACAGTCTTCAACTATACAAGTTAAAAAATATGTGCTGCAGTTCATAAGGAGTGTATGTCCGTTGGAAATTCATTTAATTACAGAGATGCCAATCCTAATTAGGACTTCACTGGCTTTTGCACTGAAAACAGTTAAAATTTCCCAATTAAGCATGAAAAATGTTGATAAAAATTAAATTCAGACTGTTTACATAATTAAAAGAAGTTTCTGCGAAGTTTTAACTCACATTTCAGCCTGGGGTGGGGTTTGTCCTTCTGTACCTCAGTGTCTCTCAGCTGAGACAAGGGTGCAAGGTGTGAGGAACCAAAGTCTTGGTCTGGCAATATGTGTCCATTTACAGTTTAGACAGTTTCTCCATTTTGTGGGTCTCAGATTGTCATGTGCAGTACAGCTCTGTGTGTGTTAATTCAGGACTTTATTTTCTGAAAGTTATGATATCCAAAAAGGCTTCTGGAAAAGGGAAGCAAATAAAGTAGAAGATAGGACAGAGGACTAGTAGAAACAAAGAAACCAAATGCACAAGGTAAATGAAGTGAGGTCCTCTGAGTCTCCTGGGTTGTGGTATATTTTTATTTCCCCAGTTTCTATTTCCTGATGCCATGCCTATTTTTCTAGTTTACTTCTCTTTTCATCCCTTCTGAGGAATGTTTTCTATTCCATTATCTCCACAGATTTTAACTTTGTTCAGTAATTTTATAAGCATACAGAACACCAATATGTTGCATACTAACACAGCATAGCCAGTTTCTGAAATTTCACGCCTTAAACTGTCCCTGAATGCAGCACTACAGACTACACACTGTGTACAGCTTTCCTGCCTGCTGCATGAGCTTAAAATGATGGTGGTATATTTTCACAGTTTCTGTACAGCTGTGAATTTAGAGAACACATGCAAAACATGAGGGCTTGGCTTCTAAAACTTGTATATTAATGTGGATGTTAGCGTCACAACTAAAGGCTTCTTTAATTTTCAGATGTGCTGTCACGTGAGTAGTACTAACTTAACTAATAATTCTGTGAGGGTTCTCTGACACATGAATAAAATGTTTTTATAAAAAACATAAAGCTTAAGTGGATACATGAATGAATTTTCATTTTGCACGTGCCTTTGGATAGTAAAAAAGTGGGTCTTTCTTCTGATGCTTCGATTTGTTTTTGTCTTGACAGTACAAACAAGTGGAACAGTACATGTCGTTCCACAAGTTACCTGCTGAAATGCGCCAGAAGATCCATGATTACTATGAGCATCGCTACCAAGGCAAGATCTTTGATGAAGAAAACATTTTGAATGAGCTCAATGATCCTCTCAGGGAGGTAAGATTAAAGTATTTGAGTAGCTATTAATGGTAGGGAAACTTTTTGTATCTTTGCTCTTTCTGTGTTGAAATGCTCTTTCTGATTTTATTCTGTAACTTTTCATCTCGTTTGACCTAGTCAGTGAATGATCAGGATAATTGATTTATATTAGATTGACACAAAAATCTAAGCAGATTTGGGCTGTATTCTGAACCAGTCTTCAGAATCACTGCCACACAAAGATATCAAAGAGTAAAATTCTATTCTGAATTGTTGACAGAAACTTGTGTTTTTCTGCCATTCTTTAAAATAGAGCGGGGCTGGACTAGAATGGTCCTGGGTGAATTTTTTTTGTTTTCCCTACTTGCTAACCACACACCTGTACAGATAAAACAACTGAAATCCACCACAGAGGGAGAGCTGCTTTGTTCTGTCTCGTGAAGTAGCATCCTTTACTTGAGATCAGGGGACTGGAATATTATATACAAGCCATTAAAAATATCTTTTGTTTAAACTGTAGTCTCTATTCAAGTTTTGGGGGCTATGTTATGTTATGTTATGCTATATGAGGAAATAGTTGAAATTTTCTTGTGCTTGTGTGGAAGGAAGGCAGTATTCGTCTTGCTCTAATGGAAGTAGCTGTTTAATGAGAATATAAATCAGGCTGTCTCCAGGATGTTTATGTCATCAGTTGGCTGATATCCTCTACTGAAAAGAGGGGGGAAAATCCACAAAAGACAGAGAAGAAGAAGCAAGTCAAAAAAGTCAGAGAGAAAATAGCATAAATAGAGAAAAGCAAAAAGAAACTAGAAAAGGAGACAGTAGGAGTGGTGCAGTTTGATACATGATGCAATCTGTGTAATTTTCAGTGCTACAAAGTGATACCTTTTAAATTCTCTGCCATGGGAGTAAATGTCTTTAAGTGTGTACATGTATATGTATAATGTATGTATTACATCCAGCAGAACACAGGATGACGTGTACTTTTGGAAAGATAGGTGATGGTGGGTTTTATTACAAGTTTTGAGGCATAAGAAGAGCATATGTCTGCACCATTGAATCCTGCATTCTGTTATGAAGGGAAAACATGTCATACAATCCATTGCCAAACTCAGTCAAGTTCCATATTTAAAACAGTCATTAGAAACAAAGCTTTGCCGATTCTTGGGCTCCAAGGGCAGCTGACACAGTTTCACCACATCTCTGTTATGGAAGTCCAGTAGTGACCTTCCTCCTTACAAACTGCTGACTGGAAATAGTGAATGCTGCCCAAAATTCCTCGGTTGTTGCTAGATGCTTCACATCAAAATCTGGCCAAGCCATGATCGTTCAAATAATTTAACAGTATGTGGCTGAATTCCAGAACATGGGCCCACTTAATTCCCTAACATAGATGTAGCCTGAGTCCTTTCTTTATGTTGGGAGTTTGTAAGTGTATTGGAGAGCAGGTGGAGAGCTCTGGCTTCTGCATTGCCACTGCCAACTTACCCTGTGTCTCCCCTTGGAAGCTTTTGAAATGTTAAGAGGAGAATGTACTATAAAAATCTGTCATGTAGGACAGGAAAAGTGTGGGAATTATCCCTAGAGTACAGTGACAGTCAAAACATGAATCTTGGCCAGTATGGAGCTTGTGTTTTGTTAAGAGAACAGAAGCATGTGCAGATACATCGGTCACTGACATCAAAAACAGTTTCATCTCTCAGCTTTTAAGGAAAGCATTTCTCCATAAATGAAGTCTAATACCCTTCAATTGCAAAATATTGTTTTAATAACAACAATTTGCAGTTGTTGCACTCTTAATTACCTGTGTTTTCCTCTTTTCCTGCCTCTTTGTTTCTTCCATTTCTGCCTCCTTTCCTCCCCCACTGCCCTAGCCCTGTCCCCTTCCCTTCCTTTTTTCTTATACTTCAGAAGCAGCAAGGCAAATTTGGTCAACCATAAAAACCCAAAAAACACTTCTGGGGAGAGATGGAGCATGGAAAATTTCAAAAATTAATGAGCCCCTAAAATCTTGGAGGAAGAATAGAATTTCATGGAAGGATTGGCTTCTGATCTTGCTATGGTCATGCTGTACTTAGCATGTCTTCTTTGCTCTCTTTATTATATAAGAAAAATTATTTACTCAGCCACAGTCAGGTTGCACACTGCCCTGATGACAATCTAGTAGTGTTCCAGAAAAAGGCTAAAAGAAAAAAATTGAAAAGTAAGAACTTTGGCTTAGAACAGGTTTCTAAATTAATCTGTCCAATTTTTGGTGGCTGCTCATGCTCTGTGCCCTGAAAACCCCACTTGGGTGTTTGCTTAGTTAGCAGTTTCAAATTCTATTTCAGCTATAGCTTCAGTATATGTGGTTTAGGAGTAGAGATAGTGGCTTTTTGATGTTAATAATGGATAATAAATTACAGCCTTTTTAAGCTGGAACACAGTTGTTCATATATATGGCTGGGATTTACCATCTTACATGCCAATAGGTGCACAAGACTATAATGTCCAGGGGATAGCACAGATACCCTAGCTGCATTATTAAAGAATAAATATTTACTGCATTTCTTAAGATTTTAAGTAATCCTGCATTTGATAATACTTGGAGTTTAGCATCTGGTGAACATTCAAAGTCTCCACAGGACATACTTAGCTTGATAAAAGTAGCTTCTGACAAAGACATTCAGCTGAAACTATTATTTCCTCACTCAGAGTAAGCAGAGCAAAAGAAACCATACAAACTGCTGCGTAATTATAGCATCATGAAATGTTACAAAAAAAGTTGCAGTGTTTCCAGTACTCCTTGTTCTCAGCCATTCAAATTTACTCTATGGGCTGAAATTTTCCACAGCTAAGCTCTCTTTAGGAGTGATGACCTTTTATTTTGGTCCATGTTTTAAAATTTTGGCTCTTTTTTAGAAGAAAAGTAATTATACATGATATAAATATGAACATTCAGCCGTTAAAAATAGCTAAAGTACATAGAATTAGTGGTTAAAATCTGGTATAAAAATAATTCTTACATGATATATACTACTAATAAAGATGTATATGCTTATAGTAGAGGTTAAGACTTTTTTTTGGTAAAAGGGGATGGATTTTCATTTTACTGAGCTTATGAAAATTGTGTATGGAACATTCATAGTAGACTGGATGATTAAAACAATGAAAATCTGAGAAAAGGTTTGATGCCTATGTGTGAGTGCCTAACATTCTGGGTAACAGAAATAGAGTCATGTTTATTATGGGGATTTAACTAGGGCTTCATAAAATAGGGAAGAAGAATCCTGAACATTTTTATATTTTACAAGGCTCTCTCTCTAGGTGCTTCTGAGCTGAGTAAAGGAACTAACTAGTGGCTGACGTGTATCATTTAGGCATAATCTTGTATTAGTAAAGAGATTGCCTTCAGTGACTGGGAACTAATGTAGACATTCATGTGACTGAAAAACTCTCTATTCTCCCCAGTTATTTACTCAGTTAGGGTATATTAGTCCATTGGTAATGTAGTTAGTTGGATAAGCTCAGCTCTACACACTCAAACTGAATTACCCATGCATTGCCATATGTCATGTGCTACTACCTGCTCATAAGGACACATGCTCTCTGACAAACCTAAAGGCTAAAGGTTTATTTTCATTAAATTCAGAAATTTCACTCTTACTTAAAAGCATATCCCCTTTTTCACAGACTTCTCTGATAATAACTGTCCAGTCTTCTTGAGACTAAGACAATCAGGAGACTCCTGGCAGTTACAATTTTAGTAGAGATGAAAGATTTTAAATTACTTCTTCCAGGCCACGCCGGATTGGATTCATCAAACCTATCTGTAGCTCCACACAAGTTCTGCAACAGGTCTAAGATAATCATCAGGCTCTCTCTGCATATGCCACCCACACACACATGCTCTCATGGTAAAGAAAACCTAGCTAACTAGCTTAGAAAAAAGGCTACATCTTCAAACGGCAGTTGACATGTGAAATAAATTCTGTCTTTAATAGCATTTGCAATTAACTGTCTTTCTCCCTCAGTTCATAAGGTAGTGATTAGAAATTGGTAGCAATTAGCATGTTTCTCTTATATAAATGTGCCTGGTTCCTCAGTAGACAGAAATGCTAAAGCTCACATTTTGAAACTTGGAATTCTTACCACCTACATGCTTGAACATCATTTAGCCTCAGAAGGCCATAGTCCCAGAAAGTGGTCTTTGTAACTGTTATGACATGAAATGGAGATGGTACAGGCAAGAAGGAAAAAAAACCCAAACACAGCAAAGTCCCCACACAGGTAAGAGAAATATGTTCCAAAAGGACATCTGAATTATAAAGGTTTAAATATATATGCATAACCAGTTTCATCTTGCAACTGTGTGTAAAAATTTCAAAGTGGCTTGGCTCTGGCATTTGTTAAGCCTCTAGCCTTACCAGCAGTGGCTGTAGGTGGATGCCTACAGAACAAGAACAGGGCAAATATGGTGTATCCCTTAATGACTCTCCTAGACTCAGAATATTTTCAGGTCAAGGGATACTCTGAGATCAGTGTGATTTGACTACTGGGTTATCTTTAATACACATTGCTTCCAATTGCTTCTTTAAATTCTTGAATCCATGTACTCTCTATACAACACCATCCTTTGTCAAGAAGTACAGACCTGTACCCTACTAAATGAGAAACCACCCCCTTCTTTTGGAATTGAACATGACTCTGATTGTTTTTTGGTTTTGACAGCCAGTCATTCTTGTAGCAAAAGTGTCTACTTAATTCTTTCTTGCATGGAAGCCAGCTCACTCCCATCATCATCCTTCTTGCCATTCCCAGTTGTTTTTCATGGGTCTGCTACAGCTTTTTAGAGCTGAGAGTGCCAGGTCTGCAGCTAGCATACTTATGCTATAAAAATACAAATAATTCTTTTCCTAATAGCTCCTAACATTAGTTTGCTTTTCAAACACTGCCAACCATCCCTTTTTTTTTTTTTTTTTTTTAATTATAGTGGTAAGAACTAACTCTCAGAGGTAATGGATATATTATTTTAGGTG